GCAGTACGGGAACAAACCGGGAACGAATCCCGTGTTCGCTGTCGGCGAATTCCTGTTGGACTCGACGGACGAGGCCACCATGGGCTTCACTTTCGCCACTTTTATTTTCCAGGTTCGTCTTATTCTCAGTAGCACTATGCTGATGGAACGATAAACCAGTTTATACGGTACAACTATACACCATCAAGCAGGTGGTATTCATTCTAGAAAAATTACTATTTTCTTCTTTATATATATTGACAATTATTGGGTGACAGTATTTAGAAAGTGAAGCTGCTGCTGCTTTATTTCAACGAATTTTGATTGCGCAGTATTACGGAAAAGTACAGAAAAAATGTTTCTGCTGATGGATTTGTCTGTGAAAATTTCTCAACTCAATTATTTAAATAAGCAAAATAAACTGCATCTCATGCATCATCCGATTCGGGAAAACTTTCATTCTATATATAATACAGTACTGTACAGCAGTATACTCTTTGCTTTGTGCGATCCGTGAAAACTTCAACTTTGCTCACCGACTTTTATACGTTCAACATCCAGTAAAATATCCTCTTGCTGCTTTAGAATTGATTGCATAGAGGTCAAGGATTGTCTGTCACGGTTCTTTGCAGGTCATGATATTGGTCCGAAACGACACGTTCTCGGAACTTTTCCCTGTAAAGTAAATATATAGTAGACGGGTTTAAATTCTATATACTGTATGCGCGTAAGACATATTATTCAATTCACGTGTTCTGTTTCGTAACATCACTTCCAATTGTTTGTTTCCAGTTGTCATTTGCTACTACTGCAACCACGATTGTGTCCGGGGCAATGGCTGAAAGGGCAGACTTTAACGCCTACTGCTTGTTCAGTGCCTTCAACACTGTCGTCTACTGCATTCCTGGGGGTAAACACCGCTTATTTCTTCACATTCGTCGTTCTTGAGAAGTTTCTTTTTCATATCAACGTTAAATCAGATCCGCCAGGGTAAAGTAAAAAAAATCAATTTCGGCTATTAAATATAGTTATAGACGCATAATATAATTTTTAAAGTCTTCATCAGCAGGTTTTTTAAAATTTTTTTTATCCTGTGGGTTTGTGCATGCGGGTGCACTGTGCTTCAACGAAAATCGAAATATGCAGCCTGGGCTCACATAGTCGCAAAAGAATGATTTTTTTTAGAAAGACTGAACGTCCTGCTGGGTTGAAAATAAAATCAACGTTTTTTTTCTTATGCTGTATGTTGATCAACCTAAGTATGATTTTTTCTATGTATTCTTGGGGGGCTGAATTTATCAAAAATACCCTGGTGATATATATATATATGTATTGATAATTTGGCTATAATGCCCATGGTTCAGGTCAGATGAACTGCAGCCGCGGGTGGCCCATTATTCATATTCTGTACTTATGCAGTAAAGTGCTGTATTTTTTCTTGGGATGATTCCAGGCTGGGTTTGGGGTGACCACGGGTTCCTCAAGCGGCTGGGCTTTGTGGACTTTGCTGGCAGCTCGGCGGTGCACCTTTTAGGCGGCACGTCGGCCTTTGTGGCGGCCTTTATGCTCCGTCCACGACTGCGGCGCCTGCAGAAGGGCACCAAAGTCATGAAGCCGCCACCGGCACCAGGCAACCCCAGCAACATGATCGTGGGCTCCTTCATTCTTTGGTAATTGATGGAATGTCATCATCAGCAGGGGGGAACGCTCTTTATTTCTGCATCACTTTTTGATGCCGTATTTTTATTTTTTATTTTTTAATTTGCCAAAATAAAAGGTGGGGATGGGTCGGCTTCAACTGTGGCAGTTCGTTCGGGGTGAGTGCCAACAAGTGGCACTACACCGGAAAGGCGGCCATTTCCACACTCAATGGCTCCATTGGTGGCTGTGTGGCGGGTTTTGCATTCTCGTGAGTCCCGTCACACTCGTATTATATACTTGACGCGTTTCTTTTTCATTCGTGAAATTCAGAACTGTAATAGTCATTGAATCATGATCCTGCACATATTTTAATCTAATTTTAAAATGTAAATACAGGAGAGCCTCGACCTAAAAAGGACGTTTTGGGTTAATTGACTCCCTGATGATGATATGATGTGTTGCGCAGAAATGAATGGATGACGAAAAAGCTGCAAATACCGTAAGTGAGCGAGCTGATGAGATTTGAAGAACTTGAGGAATACTGATCATCCACTAGCTTTCTATAGTCTAATCCAAGTGTGTGGAATAATCATCATCAGCTTTGAACAGCGCAGCAGGGGTTTCGAGTCAACTCAAGAGTCCTACATTAATTAATTTTGCAAGACAAATTCAATTTAGTTATGAGAATTTCTAAGGCCAAATATATATATACATGAGCACCGTATTATTAATTGAATCCAATGACCAATATAATAACACGAATTATAATATCTCAATTATTTGAAGGCCACCTTCAAGCGTTCTGCTGGGTGTTTGGCATATAGTGTTCGTATATGACTTCGTGCCAATTCCTGATTGCATGCAGGTATCGCAAAAACAAAAAGTTGGAAGTGGACTTGCTGGTCAACTCGCTTCTCGGAGGCCTGGTTGGCATCACCGGAGGATGTGCTTTTTTCGAGGTCAGTCCTTTTTCTTCCCCCGAATAAAAAGAAAAAAAACATTATTTGTGCACTCAAATCCCGCCGAAGTGACAAAAAAAAGGAAGAAAGAAAGAGAATGTATCGCTCGTGCGTTTTTCTCAGCCTTGGGAAGCTTTGCTGATTGGTGCAGTCGGTGGATTCTTGGCGGTCGTCACGATGCCGGTTTGGGACAAGTTTGGCGTGGATGATCCTGTTGGAGCCATATCCGTTCACGGTCAATAAAAGGGCGATGGGGGTTTTCCATTTATTTATTTATTTAAATTCTTTATATTCTGCGTCACCTGTATAATATGCACGGTGAGAAAGAAAATACACAGGTCCAACACCAACATAATGAAGCACATGGTTTGAAATTTGTCTCTTAGAAAAGGGATTCCGGGATGATAAATTCCAAATTGTAGCATTTATATATACCGCCTGTCGACAAACTACTGCACAGTATTGACCTGTATACCTCTTCTCCGATCTAAAGAAACAGGAATTCGTTTATTTTATCTCACGAAATTTTGGTTTAAAAAATCCAGCATGACGATAATTATAAGTTTTTATTTTTTTCTTATTTCTGGACAACAAGGAAATGCTACTGCTGACGAAATTGACGCGTGAAATAGTCCTAATTTTTTTTTTCTCCTCTCTCGTCTGTTTCTGCACTGTAGGGGTAGGTGGACTTTTCGGCACAACCGTCATCGGGGTGTTTATCAAGTCGGACGAGCAGTTGGACAATCGGGCGCCGTTCGGCGGTGCTTTGAAAGGCGGGCGACTCTACTTGTTCGGCGTCCAGTTGCTCGGCTGCGTCTGCATCATCACTTGGAGTGCCGTCATCACATTCTCCATGCTCTGGGTATAAAGTAAATGGCAATAAGGACTATGAAATTCTAATGAAGTATACTGTATACTGGAAATGAATATGTTTGCATTTTAAACTTTACTGCACTGCACTGTACTTGTACTTTAAATAATATGGACAAGGTGATCAACAAGGTGGTGCACATCCGGATGCCTGTGGACGTGGAAGTCCTGGGTGCGGATTTTGTGGAGCATAACGTGAGACACGAAGGGTACGACTACGAGACCATCATGACTGCGCTCAAAAGGGCTGGTCACAGCGTGAACCACCCATGGTGCCACGTGGTGAATCCGCATCTCGAGGTATATATAGTCCTGTGTGTATACGAAAATTTTCGCATTTGTTGGGACACGTGCGAGTCTGCTGGAAACATTACCCAGATAGAGTTGATTGGCAATGTCAATACAGAATTTTCCCCCGAGTTCATCGCATTATCATCGCTGAAGGTTGAAAAATACGCAGCATTGGAAGGACGACTCATTTCCTTGCTCCCCCAAGCATGCGCAACTTTTCTTTCTGTGCAAATATAATGTGAATATTTCCAACTCATCGGCATATATACAGTATACACTCATCAGTTCAACATATTTAAATAAAACTTCTGCGGGATAAAAATGATCATTTTAAAAATGCTCTGCCTCATCGCGGAAGCATTAAACTGAACTGAAGCAAATCCGCGCAAAATAAATTCAGGAGGCATACGGTAATCCTAACTTTTGAAGAAATAACCCTCGCATCTCTGGAAAATAAATAAATCATCGTATGTTTAAATAATTTTGAAAACATTGACTCGTTCTTTGTTTTTGTTTTGTTTTCGTCATAGAGAATGAACAGAGTCAGGGAAGACCTGCGAGCTCAGTTGGCCAAGAGGAGAACGTCGTCAGCCTTCATGAGGCAGCTCAACGTCAACCGGAACAGGATCCGGCCTCAGAATGAACTGCTTGACGAGGGCATAGAGGACATTGCTTCCGCAGACCTGTGTAGCCTCCAATAATAATGAACCGCCCAAGACAAGTATAATACACCACACATTTACATTGCATATATACAGTACACAAATACTGTATGCTGTACAGAACTTATTGTTTGCATATGCTATAAGGAATGGCTTATATATTGGGTTTCTTGAAAGGAAAAAAAAACATTCTTGGTATTCAATGGCTCTCTGTGAAAATAAATACAATAGAAATGTACAGTATAGGCAACTGCTATAGTTAGAAAAGCAGGTGTACGTCATCGGCAGGGGGTATATACGTGCATCTCACACTGACTAGAATAAAGGATGCTGCCTCGCAATTGGACCCTAATCCATTGCAGGACCATAGGGTGGCATTGCAAAGCAGTCAAATTGGATTTCATCAAAATTCGAGAGGGAAAAATTGAGATGCGTGTCTTACTTGAGGGCTTTCGATACCCGAGTGAATATTGTACGGTGCATCATACAAATATTGAAGAAGGAATTTGTCTTCTGTTGTGTGTACATAATGTATTGAACACTAGCTATGCTGCTAGCTTTTATTGTGTGTTTTTATTAGGAATAAAAGGAAAAATGCTTGTGTGAAAATCAGCACTCAACCGTCCGTTTATTGATTCATCCCTTCAACATATTTCACCGCTCGTGTCCTCTACACTGACAACAACTGGCCGCCGTTTTCCCTCTGCTGGAGCTGGATCGACGCATTTTAAATGCCAACTTTTTTTCAAAACGGAAAATCACATGTTTCGCGCATTGCCGAACCCTGTCGTCGTCGTCGTCGTCACGTGCGTGCCAATATATAACACACCTCCTCCTCCTCCTCCTCTTTTTTTTTTAAAACCTCCGGCACTCAGCATGCAGCAACTATTCAAACACTTCGTTCTCTTTTTTTTTGGCTCTCACTTTTTACAAAAAACACGCTTTATTCCGACCAACTGCAGATGCTGCCTCTTTGCTGACGACTCTATAATATACGAAACTATTCAACAGTTTTGACTAAAACACACCTTTTTCTTCTCTGGCTGCTCAAGAAAAAAACAAAAACAAAAACAACTTCGCACCTTCTGCCCCTCTCATCGTCAAACAACAAATGTTTCCCTCGTCGCCCGATCTTTAGCACGCATATGCACCCAAAAAAGCCTCACTGTGTACAATTAAATTTGGCAGCACGTATCTTCTTCTTTCTTCTCTGAAAAACTTGGGGCTTGAGCAAAAATCTTCTTTTTTCCCCTTTTCTCTTTCGCAAAGGGGTGAACGAAACAAAAATTGCTGAGAATTGTCTTTTTCTTTCCATTGTCTTTCATTATGGGACACGTGAACAGTGTTTAGGAAAGGGGGAAAATGTGCTTTTCTGTTTTTCCTTTTTTTTCAGAAGTGAGAAAGAAGTAAACGGAGGCGTTTCGCTCGTAACTCTTTTTTCTTCGATTGATTTCAAAATTGATGAGTTTCTCGCGGTTCCTTTTGGATGATATTTTTGAGACGAAGATATAGTCTGCTGGGTCATCAGGACATCAACAATTAAGAGCAACAGCAGGTGAGGACGATGATGATGGTTGATGGAGAAGCCCAGTATTTCGGGCACGATGATAGATGAAGAGCCTGGTCACAGCCTTTTCCCCCAAATTAATTGTTTGTTTGTTAAAAAAAGGAAAAGAATTCACCAGCGAGAAAAGCGAAAAAAAGAGAGAAGAAAATTCCATAGAGAGAGAGAGTGAGAGCAACATATAGAATCAAAGCCCGGATCAGTCGTTGTTGACGGCATCGATGGGATCCAGTTGTGGGTCATTGTTATTGATGAGGTCCGGGTTGTTGTTGTTGTTGTTGTTGTTGGTGTTGAGGCCCGAGGACCTGGTGACAGCCTTGTGGATCTCCGAGTGGATCCTGTCGATCGGTTGCCGGTCGTCGTACAGAGATGGCGCTTGCAGGATGATCCCGGCTGTGCCAGCCACCACAGCCAGCAGGAAGATCCACAGGAACAGTCTGTCCAGTACCATGGCCACGTACTTCCAGTCCTCTTTCACCTGCACCAGCAGCGGGTGGAAAAAAAAAATTAATGCTGGAATGATCAACACGTGTTTCTCACATGCACTATAGTCTGCATCAAGTTTCACACGCATCATCATGGGTTAATTGTGTATTTATATATGCACTGTACTGTATGCTACTTGAACAAAACTTAATTTCAGGCCTTCCATCAATTACAGAAGGGATACATCATCAACAAAAGGAAAATAGCATTTTATCAATGCAGCATTATTTGAACTTCTTGTGCAGTTGCCTAAAATTCATTCACACTGAAGAAGAAACAAGCATGCACAAATTATTTAAATAATGAGAGAAAAATGCAATCACGTTGAAATTATTGTTTGGTATACAAAAATGGAACCCAACAACAGATTAGATGCTAAAGATGACACACTGGAACAAATACAATTCTGGCAATCAGCTGGTTTGCAGCCAAAAACATATATACTGTACAATGGTCTCAAGGGACCACCTGCGGAATGCGTGTTCCTATTTCTTTTTTAGAACAATTTATTGGGTAATTTCATGACAAAGAAATGACACAATGAGCAAGGATCATTCAAGTCACGACACAAGGTAATAAAACAAATTTGTTCACAAATTCAAATCCAAGCACAGATACAACAGATGACAAGTTAATGATGAGGGACTGGAAAAGGAGTATAGTGATTCTTTGCAGTAATAAAGAGTACGTGAATACTGCTTTTTCAAGGAGAATACAAATTCACGGAGTAGGAAAAACCTTTACTGGGTTTTTTTGCGCGAATTCTCTTGAAAACAAAAGTTTTGTCTCATCATTAAGAGGGCATGCGAATTCCTTTCAGACAAATAACGTTGTTACTGTAAGAATGTTTCTCAGCTGGTGTGAATCAATAAGTAAGTTCACCGGCGGTTCATCGATACAAGATTGAATGGAAGTGGAAGCAGTTACAGTACTGTACTTGTTTCATTTTCATTAGATCAACTTATCCTCATCTAATGAATTCTCGTCTTTCCCCCTGCCTTACTTTCAACTAGGGAAGTTGCTGCATGCAAGCAAGAAAATCAAGTTTTCATTTTACCGCTATTATTTGTGCATTTAATGTTCCCTGTGCATATAATGCGTATTTTTAACATTAATGTATGTACGGTATGTATATTTCAGCAATGCTCATCACCTTGGTGGAGTCCTCCTGGACTTTGGCATGCTCGGCAATGAACCGCACGCACTCAGTGGTGCGCCAAAGCTCGGGGCTCTTCTGGGCCAGGGGCGGCAGGGCAGCCATCGGCGGCGGCGGTGGCGGCGAAGAGGCCGACGCCCGCAACTGGTGCCCGCGGGCCAAGCTGGTGGTCGACGTAAACCCCCTGAGGCTACATCATTTTTTATTTTTATTTTGAGACAAACATGAAGAAACAAACGTGGTATACATTTTCATGAATTACGAATCGCTGTGAACGAATCCCTGAGACATTGATTTGGTACTGCATTACAGTACTGTACTGTATAATTATTATTATTACAGCAGTATAAACGGCTCACTTTGGGGGTTGTTCGGACCTCGTAACGTGGTTCTGCAGGTAGCGAACGTCATCTGCAGAGAACCCATGCAAATTGCGCACGTTTTGGGCTAGATGTCGTCCCCCGACTCCCTGATACGGCGGCTGATGGTGGTGATGTCCAGCCACTCCATCAGCGTAGCTATTATTTATTTAACAAAAAAACAATGCCAATAACAAGGCAGAACTACATATAAAAAAGTCGAGAAGGAAGAACAGTACAGTACTATGTAAAATTATTCTGAATGTCATCGTCGTACTGTATAATGATACAGTATCATATTATCACCTACATAGATATATCACGATATTCATTTACGGCACGACTTTTCCTCGAATTCAAGCAGTATTCTTTCAATAAGTGAGATTTCAGTTTTAATCGTGAATTGAATCTCTTCAACATTGCGAAAATGCCTGGGATACTGATGAATTCATTGAGTTTTCGTACCAAAAGTGCTCACCGCCTGCAGCTATAGAATGAACAAAAACGTCCCCATCAGACACATTGGGAAATATCTCTGGGTTGCCAAAAATAGGGATCGTACTTCCTGTTTAATACGTTCTCACAATTCCAGCCAAAATGCATTCACATGAGCTCACATGTAGATGTGGTTTTAATGGCAGCATTTTCGCCGAATTCCGCTGCGAAGCGATGAGGGATGAATATTGTAATGCAAACGATCTATCCGGGAAATTAAGGGAGGATTTGGACAATAAGGCTGAATAACTGATCATTAAAATTTATACAAGCAAGCGGTCTTAATCATAATCAAGATTCAACATGGGAAGCACAAACTAGTTCAATTCGGGGGATATATATGTAAATACTGACTACGAAGACAGCGTCTGACGTCTCGGCGGGCCAGCTCCAAAGTGTGTGCAGTAGTAGTTGGAGGTGTTGAGGCCCGTGGGTGGGCCAGCACAGCCCCATGGCGGCGGTTCCACAGAGTCGTAGTAGACCAGCCTCTCTGGGTAGTAGCACTCCCTGAGTTCCGACCCAGTGCACGTCCTCACCACGACTCTTTCCGGTTTGATGATGATGCTAATACGAATTGACAAAGAAGAAGAAGAAGAAAAAAGGAACACAGCAATTACATAAATGTACAGTAACATTGCAAGTATCATATTCATGCTGACAAACACATTTTTCAGTACTGTACATCAGTAATATTAAAACGTTTTCTCAAGACCCAGCAGTGGAAATAAGTCCATACACCACATGTAAAAACAGAAAAATCACATTCTTTCAATAAACTTCCCAATCCCAGCATTTAACAATTTTTTTTTTGGGTATGTTTAATATAATCTCCAGGTACTGTATGTAGAAATTCCCCAAGTAAGGCAGGCAGAGTCTGAAATTTCTAAAACCAAATTTTACACACACTGACTGTTTCTTATTCCAGCATTGATGGAAACTGTAATAAATGACAAACATGCTTCCACGTGGTGTCACAAGATGAAGATATTGTATTGGTGTAACTGATGTAATGCAGTATTACAGCACATAATAATTCAAGCAACTTTTTTTTTAGAAGATCACACAGTTAAAAAAAAAGTTAAATTATTTCATGTATGCTGCATGCATTCCACCAAAACAAATTTTGCAGAACATTATCTGATTGCATTGTTCGTCGTGAACAAACACGAACATCTCAGAGAGAGAGAGAAAGAGAGACACACACACACACATTAGCTTTCCTTATTTTGTAGTCTGCTGAATGATGAAGTGAAATAAAGTGAAATGTGTAATCTCGGGAATGAAACACATTCCATTCCACTGGCATACATCAGGCTGGCAATTCGTCCATTTATCCGCGAAATGCCATGACGAAAGATGCCCATAAAGTACAGTACCGTACAGTACAGTAAAGTATAAAGTAAAGAAGCATACAAGAGACGAACAGCAGTTCCCTCGAGACGACATTATCAGTCTTGTGCCTTTATCAGGCAGAAAATCAGCACTAAAAATGCGACTCGGCTTTTGCTGGTGCTGGGAATGATATGATGGTATGTAATGTATATACGTACGATGAGAGAAAAGTAAAAAGCACAGCAGCAGCAGCCATCGAGTGTGTGCTGTGTCTGGTGCAGAAGCAATATGACACGGACAGCATCAGGGCCAATAAATTACTCATGCGTGGCCCCCCTTTTAATGTGATCCTTGCTCATCCTAAACCGGAATATGCCATGATACGGTGCTTATTGGGCATGCTGCGTGCTGCCACAGGGACACACACGTGTGCATCATATGCTGGTACCATATGATATGGGACCAGCAATGGCATATACAGTACAGTAAAAGTTCCACACCAGTCTTTCCTGGTCATTAGACTGTGCAATAAGAATACTGTACGATGGTCCGTTCCTCTCTGATGAGCCATCATCACCATCAGCAGCGAAGACTCGACTTGAATCAAATATGAGGAATTCAATTTCATCAAGAAAAGGGTGTTTTACTTCATTATCATGCCTCCATTTTAAATTTGCAATCTGATTATGCTTCATTTTGCCAGGGAATTTGGGGGATATATGAAGCATTGCTGCTGTTTTGTAAAAGCCTAAAGCGATTTCTCACGCATGGTTTTCTCACTTAACTTTTATCAATTACATCACTGTATATGCATATATACATAGTATACAACTATCATTTATTTCACTTCGGAAAAGAAAAAATAAACTTCCTCGTATACCTTATTACTGATTCTCAAATAGAATAAGTGGCACGATTCTGAACCATCAGCAAAGCGACCATCTTTCCATCCACGGAAAATTGAAAAAATAAATAAATGAAGGAAAATAAAATGCTGTCCCATACTTTTTTTGTGGAAATGGCAATGATCTTTGATTGATATTTAAAAATGGCACAAATGTTCCCCAAAGTGGACAGATGAGGATGTGTTTCAAAAGTCGCTGTTGTATGAAAGCAAGAGCTCTCAGTAGCAGCAGCACAGTGTGGCTCACGACTGCAGTCAATTAAAACCGGAAACCCGACACATATCCAGAATATGTATAAAAAGGGGGAGGGGGGGGGGGAGAAAGTGGTGATGCAATTTCCGACAGATGAGAACGAGAGAGAGAGGGGGTGGGCAAGGTGTGTGTGTGTGTGTGTGTGTGTGTGTGTGTGTGTGTGTGTGTGGTAGAGCCGAGGGAAAGAGAATCCTGAGACGGGAGGAGATCGGGATTGCTGAGGACAAGCCCAGCAGACATCGGGTTCCAAATCCTGCGATGCTGCTGGCATGGTGCCAAACGAAAACCCGTTCGCGTCGGGCCGGGGGTTCGGTTTTCGAGGACTTGGGGGGGTTTCTTCTCTCATCATCATCGTCGTCTCCTCATCGACGGCAAAACGCGAGTAACACAGCATATACCGTACGCGGGGAGTATATGGGAGAAATTCCTCGTTTTCAAGTGCACGTGAATAATCAGCGATTGATTCTTGGGCAAATGCTTCATCTGGGTTCTTTCCACAATAAATAACCCCCTTAACCCCATCATCTGCTTCTGATTTCGTTTTCCCCCACGTCCCCTGTCTCTCTCTCTCTCTATCTCTCTCTACCCCAGCTGGAATACTGTCCTGTACTTTATTTTAATGAAAAAATAAATAAAGAAAGAAAGATTACACGCGCTTCACTCGGGAACATTGGGCATCAATAATACTCCAATAACTCTTTTCTTTTTCTTTTTTTCTCCCCCCGCCCCCGGAAGATGCTCAGCAGCAAAGAGAATACCAGATATTATTCCTCTTCCGGTTAGAATAAGGGCACGCGCGTTACCCAGCCGGATATATCTCAGCTATGCAGCAGTTCAGCGCAAATGATTTCTCCGCTCCCCCGGTCTACCAATTATCCTTTGCTCCTCTCTTTCTTTTCTCCTTTTGTCTTATACGTATATCCATATATATCTGCTCGGCATCCATACATCATAAGGACACGTGATGGGGTCAATTGGGATCAGCAAGGAAAGCTTAGCCGAGTATAATAAGGGCTCGATATTCTCTCACCATGCAAGCAGCAGGGCGAGACCAAGAAATAAAAAAGAAAAGAAAAAATCAAATAAATAAAGTAAAAGAAGAGGAGGGAAATAAGAAGAAGAAGAAGAAGAAGAGGAGGATGGATCCAGACGAAGCAAAAGTAAAAGTATGTGCTATAGCAGCTTACAGCAGGCGCCCTCTTGCCTGGAATAATATCATACAGCTAAAGGGGGTGAAGCAGGAGGGCCTTGGGATGCTTAGGATATTGCTTCACTGGAGAGGAAAATTTCGACTCATCAACCAGGGTCCATCAGTAAGTGCGTACACACACACACACCAGGAGGATGATTTTTCTCCTCAACATGGCCATACATGTATGCAGGAATAATAGGTAAATCAATAAATTTATTTTTGAGGGTCAAAGTCTGCCAAATGCAAATAACATAGAAGCTACTGTATATATGGATAGCTCAACTATAAGGATATAGGGGAAGTATATAGTGATGCTCAGCAACCTTCAGGATCCCAGCTGTTCAAAAGGTTCAATACAGTATTTGACTGGCAGCTACTGTATATAAGAGGATCTCCTTCTTTGGAATTGGAAATCTGGTGCAACATTTTTTTATGATTCATCAAGTGAAGAAGAAAAAAAATACATCCCTATATATATGCATCACTCTCCAGGTACACTGGTCATGAATCTTGATGATGAGTCAATAAACACCTCAAAATGACATGTAATTGAAATGTTTTGAGACACTGTATGGTTTTCTCTGGGAACCCTGAGTTGGTGGAACCCTCTTTTTCAGCCCACATGAAAGTTGGGATTTCTTTGTCCGCAGGCGTATTTCAATTAAAAATATCGGTCACCAATGTGCTGCACCTAGCTGGGTTAATTGAGAAGTTTTAGGTTGGTAAAAATCTGGGAAGAGCTTATCCTTTTGTTTTCAGATATCTTCAAAACTAATCCAATGCTGAGAATGCAGAGGGGAAAAAACACCACAATGAAAGGGGTTTTTTTGCAGAGAAAAATATTGAACTTCTCCAAGACTTAATTTGGCCTTGGTTTAAAAAATTTTAATTTTTCATTTCAATGGCACAACATTTTCCAAAGATATTCTAACTTTTCTGCACAAGGGGGGATGAGTCAACGCATGAGTCATTTACATATACAGTACAGTACAGTACAGTACGGTATGCATGCACAGCCATTCCAATGCGTTGCAGCAGTGATTTCCATCTGCTTTTTGGATTGATTCCGTATTATATTATTTTTTGTGTTGGTGCCTCTTGTTGATGATGAACAGCTTCCCTCGATCTGAATTCTTTAAATATCTTCTCAATGTTTCTCTCATAAATCGAGAAAACTGCAGCACTTTTTCCCCCGGCGGACATATAATCTAGAAGCGAGTTTCTCACTGAGTTATTTGGCATATAAAATATACCCTCCGAAGAAGTATGAAAGACGATGATTGATTACAGCTTGGGCATACCCTAAACTAAATATGAAGTATCGATGCACTCGCAGTTGCTAATTCGATTAAACAAAAGAAAAGGTATACTCCTTATTTGAAGTCTGCGAAACTTGCAAAGAAAGATAAAGATCTCTTTCAAGGCAGAGCCTTGAAAAAAAAAAAAGTGAGCAAGATAAATATATGGAAAAGCAGACAAAAAGGAAAGGAATGACAACCATTATTTCACTTTCCGGATAAGGGATTGTCTCGTTTTGATTAATGTGCTACAATTAATGTTGCTTGCGTCTATAGCATTCAACGTACGCGACAAGGAATGCGCAATTTGAAGAGGAATCTAACCCAAAGATTTGGTTTTCTTCTTTTTTTCAAAACAAAATAACAGTACCCGTCATTTGAATCACATGCCAGACGAGGGCCGCAACGTTTTATTGCGTATGTAGTGTACACATTATCGCCTACTTCCGTGCGGAAAGAGGTCGTATTACTACAGTATAGACAATCTCTGATGGAGGAAAGTGGAGGAAAAGAAGAAGAAGAAGAAACGAACAAACACACACAAAGTTGTTCTTGTTCAGCAGGTCCTGTATTTTTTTTTTTCAAGGCTGCTGCTGCTGCTGCTGAGCCGTACATATACAGTATATACTTGTATGCAGCAGCACAGGTCAGTTCATCAGCGCAGCAGCTAGGGCAAAAAGGGCCGGACGTGCCTGGGATGACGCGACACAAAGTACAGTGCAGTATATATAATGTATAGGGCGAAAACTGTGATTCATGACGGCGGGCGGAATTGGCAACACTCGCTTTTCGCCGATTTCCTACGTTGCGCAACAACAACACGAACCATCCATCAAAGACTCGGGGGATAGAGTTCATATGAGCCCAGCTGCGTCATTAATCCATGTCGGGTGCAATCCCTGCACACTTGCTTGTGCTGCATATATGTTGCTGTGGCTCAGGCACAATAAGCTGCTGCTGGAGGATTCATGTTTCAACCCTCAAACCCCCACCTCCGTTTCTCGCCTGCATTTTGGCTTTTATGCAGATGACCTTTTATATATTGTATATGTATCCCGCCTCTGCTGCTGCTGCTGGGAGGAAAACTTGCCCACAAGAAGATAAGTTGCTGTTTATTCCCCCCAGCCATGTAAGGTACTGTATGTATATATACGTACTCAGATGAGGAATATTATTTTTTTTTTCGTTTTGGTGGTACTTGATGACTTATTGTGCTCATCTATATGCCCACATAGACTTCAAGTAAACGTGCCGATGGAATATGGTACAATACTGTATTTCATGTAATGAGCGAATAAGTAAGCAAACAAGGTATATGGCTCAGTAAGATTTCATTAAACCAAATCTATTTTACAGCAAAAAAGAATTTTTTTAGAAGCCTACATTCCAATATAAATTCTTTGCTATTTGAGTCTCAGTTAATAGCCTCCTGCAGAGTGCGCACACGCAAAAAAAAATAAATAAAGAGAGCTGCTTATTATTGAGGACCCCGCCTCGAGTCCCAAAGTAAGCCGATTCTTCCAGCAGAATTTACAATGAAAACCACTCACCTGCAAGACTATTAACAATAAAAGGCTCTCTCGATCCACAAAAAAAAAAAGAGGGGGAAGGAGAGAGAAAAGGAAAGAAGCAGAAACAAACGAAAAGGAGAATCAACTGCAAGATTCCCCGCATATCATAAAGAACTTATTCCTATCTTCAAGGACCAAAGCGTTAAAGTCCCGCTCAGACGACGATTGTATATATATACAGTATACAGTATACTGTATATATTTACTCGTATATTCGGGTCTCGTCTTTTTCTGCATGCGGGAAAACACTCGCTTGCTGTATAAGTGCTCTTTAAAAAAGAGTCCAGCTGCACATCATCTATATAGTGTATCTCAGGAGGGATATATAAGGAAAAGAGGGGAGGGTGTTACTGCATTATTTTGAAGCAAAAGAATAAAGTTAGGAATGCAGTGCCTCGTCATCGTCGTCGTCGTCCCCTATACACATATGGCAGAGGATCTAAACTACATCTGTACATATTCAAGAGGATGACGAGAGAGGTTTGAAAAATAATGTGCGGAATCTGATGGATGAGTGGAGCTGCCCCGAAGTGAATGCTGACGGAAATTCCTTATTATGCTGCGTGCAGTGCTTTATTTTTTCGTTTTGTGGTGTCATAATTGAAACAGTAACATTAGGATTGAGTTGCGTCTGTCTCTCTCTCACTCCGTCGCTTTATTTTAAAGCCCGGATGCCATTTCAACTCAAGTGCATGTATGTGATTACCCCGGCAACGAGTCACGACGAGAATTGCAGCCTGTTTTAGCCAAGTACTGTATTATAGCTTCTATATAAGGCTGGGAAAGCCGGTGGTGTAAGGCGAGGAAATGTCATTCCCCAATCCCGGCCGACACTTGATAGAAAACTGACACACGGACCGGATGATCCTCCTCGTCGTCGTCGTCGACGTCGTCGGAATCAGCGAGGAAGGGAATAATGAGACTTTGCGATTATTCCGGAGAAAGCGCGAGTATACTGCTGCTGCTGCCGCTTTCTCTCACTACCCTGGGTATATTACGAAGAGGGGTCTATTATAACAAAGGTTATTTTCAGATTAATATAGAAGTTAATATGATGGCATGCGATTGAGTTGAGAAAAAAAAAACAGTTATTGTTCATCAGAAAAACAAATATTCTTCGGCGAATCAAAAAACAAAAGTCTGCGGTTTGCTTTTCAGAACTGTTGTTGTTGCTGTTGTTGATGTTGCAAAAGTCAGCCCATGAACAGCGTTCTGCTCTTCACTCAAAAGCTGAGGCGCCAATATATTGACTTTTTGTGTGTATATATGTGTGTGTGTACCCAGCAATAAGCTTTCCCTTCAGAATTCCTAAAATTGACAAGGCATCAAAATCAAGGGTTTCCTCCAGTGGGAGGTCTTCCAAGGTAATCCTGCCAATTTTAAGAATTATTGTCTGTCAATTACGGATCATATGGAGGCAACTCTTATTGATTGTCAAGAGCCTGGTCAATTTTAGGAATTCTGAAGGGAAGACTGACGAGCTACGCCAAAAGAAAAGAAAAATTATGTGAAATGGGCCCCTCATCTTCTGAGTAAACAACAGAAAGCTGCCGTGCATGGGGTGACCTTTGAAAAGAAAAATAATTTCAAAGAAGGCTGATTTTGTTTTCTTGCACTGCAGAATTTTTTTGTTTTTTTCACAATGACTTTTGTCAGCCCGTTCCTGCGTTGATTCAATCATTATCCCGACAACTTTCGTTACACCCCTCGCCAAAGGAGCTGCATGCTGGGGATCACATAATTCGAGACGTGCGAATATCTCTCTCTCTCCTCTCTTCGTCATCATCAAGCACCTCTGATTCCGGTCTCTCTGCTCTACTGTCCTGTACTGTACTGTATGGTATATGTACATGGTAGGAGACGATGAGTGTGTAAAGTTCCAGCACCCCTTTGCTTTCCCTTTCCCCATGTGTGTATCAAGACGTAACATCGCCATCACGTCCAGCTGTGTGCTGCAAGTATATACAGTACATGTACAGTACTCTGTATACAGTATATATATATATATATATATATACCGGGTGTACCATCATATGCACGGCTGCTGTTTCATTAACGTCTCGTCGTCTATATCCAATCCCCGCCCAAAAGGTCCAATTACACTGTTATTCAATTCAAGCCATACTCGTGTTATTGCATATATACAGGCGTACAAGTAATATGCCTGAACGTCTTTTCGTGTCAAGTTCTTGGACTGGGCCGGGCATCTTATCGTCTTAATTATAGCAGCCATTTCATTATGCCGACGTCTCACTGCCATACTTTTGTAGATAGACCCAAGAATCTTGAATTTCGTCTTTCAAACTTCTTCTCTCGTGTGCGTGTGTGTGTCTCGAATGATTGGTTCTGGCTCTCGGAAATCCTGGCTTTCCCACTGCTGGTGCCCCTTTGATCCAGTATACGGAATATATATATATATATATATATACTACACAGAGAAGCAGCAGCAATTGTAGACCCAACTTCAGGTCAGCTAGTGTTTGCCAAAGGGAGGATTTCAGTGGGCTCCTGCAGAGGAAACCCTCATCCTGCTGCCCGTCCAGAACCAGTTCTGCAATCAACTCTTGTTTGTTCTCCTCTGATGCCCACGACAACATACAGTATATATATACAGTATATATATTTTTTTTCCATCTGACACACTCCCCGTTTTTCTTTCATATATTTTATATTGGTAAATCTTCTTTGAGAGAGAGATGGACGAGAAACTGGAACAGGATATACTTTATATTTTTATATACTGTGCTGTATTATTGTATAACATCTTCGTCCATCACTCGTGATGAAACTGTACAAGACATGGATACTGGGTATCCATGTCTAGTATTCGAATCCCCAAACAACTGGAAAAGTATGAAGGCAATTCAGAATCCTCGAGGATGAGAAACGGAAATCAGCAAGCCCTTGAATAATTTGTTTTATGCCTATGATATACAGTAAATGTCCTGAAAATTAATTCGTGTACCATCAGTACGTGATGTACAGAATTGTGTGTGTATTTAGGTCATTCTTTTCGGAATGAGGATAGACTGTGCTCAATTACGGATCGAAGCATCATTCCAGGTTTGTTTGTTTTTTTCTTGACTATATATAGGAAATGACACACTCACTTGTGCGGATCTGCCTGGAACTGCGGCCTGCGCATGAACAGGAAACGCGGCAGAGTGTGGATGAAGACCCGTTTCACCCAGGGCGCCATCTTGTGGGTTTGTGGTGACCGGAAGTGGACATTGAGCACCATGACAGTCACGCAAATGCTTCAAAAAGAAAGGCATACACAGCACGTTTTGTCACCCATCCCTTATTGGTTCATTCAAAATGTGGATCTTTCATTGGGATATGCATTTTGCAAAAGCAGTTATTGTACTACAGTATATATATATATATATACTGACCTGATGGACACCAGTATCATTGCAAATATGAGATATTTGCCGAGCAAGGGCACAACCAAGGACGTCGGTGGAATGATCTCCACGACCAGCAGGAAGAACACATGGAGACTGATGAGAATACTGATGGACAGCGTCACCTGTCGGCAGTTGGAGGAAATGGACGAGATTTTCGAATCACGACGTATATATACGCGTCATCCCTCAAAAAAAATTGCACTGTTATTTTGAAACTCATGACAGGTAGCTCCAGCATTCCCAATTTCAACGGAAAAAGTGATTAGTGTAGAATCCATAATACTAAGCAATGAATGTTTGGGTCTACCTTTATTGTAAAAAAAAAAAAAAAAAAAAAAAAAAAAAAAACGAGAAAGAGAAAAAAAAAGGAAAAGAAATCAAAAGCAGTATACCGCCAGCTCAGACGAGCCAGCAAAAGTCGTTCAAGGAAATTAAATGAACTCATTCATTTCAAAGCTGCGAAAATGCACCAATTTCGTAAGTTCTTAAGCATGTATGTATGTATGTATGTATATTTTTTTTTATAGAGATACAGTACAGTACAGTATATATGAACCTTCTCGCCGCTGTCTGACGGCAGGTAGAAGGTGAGGACGGTGAGGAAGGAGATGCCCATGCAGGGAATGATGAGGTTGACGGTGTAGAAGAGCGTCTTGCGCCGCATGGTGATGTTGAAGGTGATGTCCAAGTAGGGCTCGTCGCAGCACGTGTAGAACTTCTCGTTCCGCTCGGCCGGCACTTCCAGGATGTCCCACTCGACGGACATGTAGAACTCGGACAAGTCGATGCCCAGGTCCACGACAGTCATGCCGGGCTCCTCGTCCACGTGTCGGAGGTCCACCTTACATCGTCGTCATATGGGTTTATTTTATTTTATTTTTCATCTCTCTCTCTCTCTAGCTTTCATTCATTCATTCATTCATTCATCATCATCATCACCAATATTTATAAATAAATATTTATTATCACTTTAATTTTATTCATTATTTATCTTCATCTTGCTCCATGTATTATATAAGCAGCAGCAACAGCATATATATATGCGTAAAGAATTTACCGAGAATTTGCCTATATATGCATATAAATAAACAATAAATACTCTTGTACATAGCATTTGAATTATTGAACGATGATAATAATGTACCGGCTGCAAATTGATGATATAATAGCAGTATACATTTTACAGTATTTTATACTATAGTCATCGGACCACATCAGTATAAGTAACGTCAGGAACAATTACAGTACTCATATTTGGCATTTCCTAATAACTCGGATTAAACAATATTGATAATTTCCTGTGCATGGGTGTGTATACTCGTATATACGATATGATGATGATGATGATGATGATGAATACACGAAAAATTAAAATGTGAGGAGAATTCAGTATATGCATAGTACGTATAATAGTGCATTTATTCTCGAGACTCTTTTCTTCTTCCGAATCAAAAATTGGGCAATAATTTATAACATATGGTTTCTTTGCTGCCGTTGGCCATACATAATACTTTTGTCTCGTTGGTTATTCTGAAACATTATTTTTCACAAAAATTATCATTATTCATTACTGTATTAGGTATGATCATGATTCAGCCAACCTCTTATATACGACTGCATTAAATCTAGAGACGGTAGTTTTCCAAATTTGAAGGAAAATCCCTTGTAAATAGTTCACGATAAATCGCCAGTATATACGAGGTATGAAGTGGTGAATTTTTTTTTTCAAAAATAAATTTGTATACATTGTACAGTACATTAATGCCCGTTCAAGCATACATCGAAATTGGAATATTTGGAATTTAGTCAGCTCGGCATTGTCCTCGTTTCTTTTGAAGCCAGCATGCATGTGAAAGAGATTGGTTCTTGAGGTATAAGATAGATTCCAATCCAGAAAGTCTCAAAATTGCATCATTATCAGAGAATATGTCTTCTTTTTGTCGTTGGTTAATTGCTATAAAGCCGGCATATAGATTTGAACACTTGCAACCATTTTTTTTTTCAATCTGCAAGATTCAAAACCTGCCAATAAAGGTAGACCCAAACATTCATTGCTTAGTATTATGGATTCTACACTAATCACTTTTTCCGTTGAAATTGGGAATGCTGGAGCTACCTGTCATGAGTTTCAAAATAACAGTGCAATTTTTTTTATTGGTCAGTTTCCCCCATCAAGTCGTGCGCATGAGCAAGTCTGCATAGTCTTATTGGATTCAAGCACTGATTTCATAGAATTTCCGAAGTATTATACTCAGTATCTTTATATAAAGCGTTTCTGACAAATGCTCATTTCCCAGTACGTGCACAGTAACTTTATGGAAATCCGGCATATTGACACAAATAAGAACCAAATTTTTAATTTTCTGAAAAAAAAGCCAGACTATCTTCAGATGGACATCTTTCATATACCCAAAGCCCATCATCAATCCCACACACACCCAACAAGCACACATTAAAAAACACTTTGAAAAAAAAATTAGAAAAATACTCTCCAGAATTCGGAATTATTGGGAAATACCAAAATAATATACAGTAATACGGTCCTTTTGAATGCTGTCCAAGTTTTCTTCTCATGATGTGTTCTGCTGATGTACAATACGGTCTCCAAAGTACTGTACAGTACTGTACATCTGCATGGCTTCGTTTCCTGATATAGCTTTTTTGTACATATTTATATATACGCAGTGATTCAGGGTGAAATGCAATTCCATAGAGATGAGGGACAAGTAGGGCAGGGGATGGACGGGGAATTAAGGACGTGTCCAGTAACGTTTTAATCACAGCAGGCAGGACAATGCTCAGCCAGAAAAGAAAATCTTCCGCTTAAAAAAAAAAAGAGCCGTCATGCACACGCACAAAAGTTAAAAAAATATACTGTATATAGATACATATTTGAAAAAAAAAGAAAGCAGCGAGAATGCCATGCAGAAAAAAGCGGCCGTTCTTTGAAAAAAAAAACAAAAGAAGTCAAACATGCTTTTCTTAATCGACCAAGAATGAAATAAAAACCTTCAGAAATGCTGACAGTCAAACATGAGTGAAAAATCTCGCCCGGTATTTTTCTCCCCTTGCTGATGCAGACACCCGTTTTCGCGCACATCAATAATATAAAATAAACTCCTTCACTTTTTTCCACATATATATATATATGAGGAGCAGCAAAGAGAAAAGACAAAAAAAACCAGCAGAGCATCATCTGCGCATTTTCCTGAGCAATATTCTCCGTTTGTCCTTTTCGTGGTTCGGAAATAGTCCTCATGATGTTCAGTTAATTATACGTCCATAAATTCCCCCGTCGATTTGGACCAGCAACAAGTATACAATACGGTCTCGTGTGTAAAACAGAAAAGAGTGAGAGAGAAGAAAAAAAAACCACGGCACACAGATTCGGGGCACATTCATGACACGCACACAGGAAATAATATTTAAAAAAAAAAAGACATCACACACGAGAGTGTATGAATGCAGCAACACAGCAGTATTTATATATATATATATATATATATATATATATATATATATATATATGGTGGAAACGATGAGATGTTCACATCAATTTCATATGCATTTATAAGGGGCAGATGAGGATCGATGAGAAGGCTGATTGCTCTGATAAATGCTGTAACAATAATGTCCAGCGGTGCCTGTATAATCACATCATGTTTTTTTTTGTTCCTCCCTGACAAAAGTTGCTGATGATGTGCAGATACATGTATTGTATATATTTACTTGTCACTGTGGCTCTTGTTGTTCTTGTTGTTGCTGATCTTGCTGATGATGCTGACGATGATTTTGATGATGATGAGGATATTTATGAAAATGTGGAGGAGGAGGGGGACATGAAGAGGAGCAGAGAAGAAGAAGAAGAAACGCGCGAGTGTGTGTGTGTTTGTATAGATTTTGGTGTTGGTTTGTTTGTTCCGATGACTCTTGTTTTCTGTAGCAGCACCAATACACGAGTTGACTCGTTTATTATACCTTGAAGCCGTCGTAGGTCCAGGAGCCGAACTTCATGAAGCACGTCTGGATGTCGAAGGGAAAGAACTCGATGTCGATCTGGCACGAGGACTTGTAGATGGCCGGCGGCTGCCAGGTCACCATGCCCGTGTGCTCCACGCGGGCCTTGGTCATCAGGGTCACCTCGTAGTTGCCATCCGCACTGTCGCATAGTGTGACCACACGACCAGCAGCAGCACCATCACCATCAGCAGCGCATATATATATATATATACACACACATATGTGCATCGAGTGATGGGGGACGGGATGAAGGGTGATGGGCACAGCACAAGAAATAAGGATGACAGGGGTATAAGTATAAAAGTAGTACAGTACTTGTAGTAGTCGGGTATATTTACAGTACGTGTGTCTGCCGATGATGACCCCGACCAATAATCAATCACACCCGTGTCTCACGGAATAATGTGAGTATATAATTAAGAGGCCAACTGAGAGCCACCGCCAGCACGAGGTAACCAAATGTGGAGCACAATTAAGACCCTTCTGCGTATATAGAGGGTGCCACGTACAATTACCGAGTAAATATTTGATGAACAATTATAAAAAAAAGTCTGTCCACTCCGAGGAGGATTTCAATCGAAATTCAATTTCCTGAACTTCATCTATGCAAAGAGTTGAGGTATATAGGAAGGTATATGAAAAAAACACATGGGAGACAATGGTCTTTTTTCCGCAATAAATGATTCCTGAAAGCTAATACTCTTGAAGTTGAATAAAACTTTCGCCTGTTTTGCATTCTGTTCCAAACTTCCAATACTTGAGAATATTTACATGGAGAGAGATTTTTATCCTGTCTCATTTTTTTTTTGGATCTCAATTATCACATGAGATATCCATTGAGAAAACGAGACGTTAAAAATATGTTACGCAATGCAGTTGTCGAAAAAGTTCCACTAAATTTCTACATGTCAACTATAACTTTGTCTTTATTGCTCAGCTTCTGGAATGCGAACAACAACGAAATCATGCAATTTCCGTGCTACATTTTCACGTTTAACTCAACATTTATTCCTTCACTCGCAATTATTGCGTCACCCTGAAAAAGAGGCCCGTTTTCCTGAACAGATGCAAAGTTGATTTTTTGTTTTGTTTACCTCTGTAGACATCATTTCGTGCACTGTAAGAATCTATTAACATATATTTAGATTCATTTTCATGACATTAACAGTAAAAAGAAACCCTTTCTTTGTTCAACAAAAAAGATACTTGAAATATGAATTATAAGCTGGCGCTGTTTGAGGGTGTAATTATCTTGCTGGCGCTCAATTGGCTGGTGGCTCTCAGTTGTCCTGCTGCTCAGTTGGGCTTGACTCTCAACTTGGTGCCCCGAAATCAAGCAAAAAATTTGACGCGTATTTTCCCAGAATACTTCGATAATACGAGCATGTTTTCACACTCCAACAGCAAACAGGCCGGGGAAAACCACGCAGTTGTTTTCCCTTATTGAAGCTGCCTCCACGTGTGTTTTGTTTCACAGATTTCTCTCATTATGGGGGAAAACATAAACAACTCTGACTGTTTTCCTGAAAAAGCAAAAAACAAAATGATGTGCGCTCATGAACCATCTGGACCAGACGAGGACTAATGCATAAATTACCCTTGAGTTTATTGCAGTTCGAATAATACAATAATCGACTGCAATCGTCACTTCTTTTGCGTTATTCGTTCACTGTTATTCACTTATTTAAGAACCCCTCCTCTATTGGCACCACAATAAAATGCTTCTGATGCAGCATGCCGTTTCATCAGCTTAAATTCCGTGATAAAACCTTCAAAATTGTTTGCTTTCTATTCATATATGGATGCAAGTTTTTGACATTGTCACATCTTCATAAAGATACATTTTGCAAGCATGTTGTGAGCATGATGGGAATGTGAAAACTCGAGGCAGCTTTAATAAGGAAAGTAGCAGATCACTCACTATACTACAGTACCTATAATTATTGACCACATTCCAAATTTTCATACTGCTGATGTAAGCCGCCAAAATATATATGTGGGGTCAAGGTCATACATGCGCTACCATATCCATACCTTTTATTCACACTCACCCTTTTGTAATGTGGCAATTTATTTTAATGTTCGAGTAATTTTCAGGGCTAAACTGTGGCATATATCACCCCCAATTTTTTCTTTCTTTCAGGGAACGAAATCGAGAGGTTCTTTACTCACTCGAATATATTTTAACCTCTGAAAATGGGTCTGGCGTGTGAGTTCCCCGCACATTAAAAAAAATTACTGTAAAACCATGATTTATTGTACTACACGCTTGAAGTTTCAAACACACACAACGAGGAGAGAGTAAAAAATCAAGTTCAAGGACGACTTGAACAAATGCGATGCAAATATGTACATATTAAAAGAAGTGCGGGATTTCCAAAAGAGTGAGGGAAAACGCAAGAGCGTTTCGAGTTCTGATGAATGCTTCGTCCACTTATATATTGCAGCTAAATAAGAGCATATACAGTACAAGGAACCCTGCTGCTGGATATATTTAAGGACATAAATATGCTGCTCAACGTTTACTCTTGAATACGGCTAAAAGTTGCGAGCAGCTACACACACTCTGCTGCTAAGGTCGCATTCATTTAAATTTAATCAATTAGACGCGAGGTTTTCGTCAAGAGTTGAGCGGGAACGACGAGGATGAGGCGTTTATTTAAAATCAGACCGACGCGTTCCCTGATTATCTCCAGCACGCTTCCGACATTCCTCTGTGGACGGAATAAATTAAAGTTGGGTGTCCTCTGCTCGGAATGATGAGAGGACGACACCCAACAACAACAAAAAAAAGGAAAAAGAAAAACATTTTCGGGGACGAACCATCGAAAAGAAGGAGAACAAGAAGAGTATAAGGGTTTAAAAGTTTCCCATTCATCCACGTGAATGAAAGTTATTCATTCTCGTTAGTTTTTCTGCTGGTATAGTATGTCGATTTTATCTCGAGGATATCAGCGCTTTCCTTTATATAAATGAAACCCGCTTTTCTATTCCTTTTTACAACGCATGCTGATGACAATAAGAAGTGTTTTTTTTATTTGTTCGGTTTCACAGTTTATTGATGTCAACACACAAGTATATAGCCGAGGTCACGAGGAAATGAGTGACCCCGAATTAATGGATGACAGCAGTCTTTTTTTTGTGTGTATGTTGCCCAGCAGCACAACAGGTGCCATTTTCCTCTGCTGCTGAAGGGGTTTCCAAGAATTCAATGCTTCCCCCATCCCCTTTAGCAAATGTATATATATATATAGAGTAAATCACAGGTGTGTATAATATGGATCCTTTCGCATATTTCATGCTCGAGTTTGGCACGAGTAAATACACACGAAAACGCTTTCCGAGTTCCCGCGAATAATATCGGCGAAAAAACCACGCGACAAAATTTCAACTTTTTCTCTCCCCCCGCGACGTTTTACAAAAAATTCGAAAATAAAACACCCATATTTCCCTTATTTAGTTGATCCGGAAATCGACGATGCAACATTTGGAGAATATATTCCGGAAAATAGGCGGAGAACAAGAAAATCATGTCATTCAGGCATTTCCGAGAACGAAATCTACTGCTAAAAAAATGTGTGTATAAATATTAGAAACGGCGACAAAGACCGAGGAAACAAAAAAATCCATTCTCAACCTACTCTTCTTTTCTCTCTCTCTCTCTCTCTGTCTCCTCCACCAGCACAAATCCATCTCCCATTCCAAAAAAAAAAAAAAAAAAAAAAAAAGGGGAAGGAAGATAATGGCATGGATAATGACGTTATTGTAATCATTTAATTAATCAATGATCACGAACACATGCTTGAGATCAACCATGGAGCAAATTACTGTAGTCTGATTTTTCATTGGGGCAGCCATTCTTTCCAAAAAAAAAAAAAAAAAAAAAAAAACACGAAAAAGTGGAAGGATGAGGAATAGACGAGGCAACGGAAGAAAAACTTCCCTTTTTGAAAAAAAAACCAGGGGAGTAGAAAAACTGGTAAAAAGCATGTTCCAACAGGATGAAGAAAAATAGACGTTTCACTCACGCTCCCACCACCAACAACGCAAAAATGGCGTCACCACTCGGAAAATTTCATGACAGACTAGACAGAAGAAAGCAGATGAGTGGCTCATCCTCAGTCTCGCCCGAGAAAAAGTCATATGCACAAGAACCAGAAGAAAATGAAAAAAAAAAGAGAAGAAGAAGACACTTGCAAGCCCTGCATGGCTCCTCTTTCTGATGCATATATATATATAGGGTTGAAACGATATGGCAGGAGGGAGGAAAAAAAAATAACAAGAGCATAAAAAGACTAAAGGAACTACCCAAACTTGGGGTATTAATTCGAGGGGAGAAAAACACAACCGAAGCGAGTACAGATTTTGCAAAGCGGTTGGGGAAAAAAGAAAAAAAAATCCTCTTGAAAAAATAGGGGACTCTGAAAAAATTTTGAACCATTCTGCTTTCGTCATTTCTTCTTCTACGAAACTGACGTAATACTTCTAGTTAAAGGTTCGGTTTCCATGGAACGAAAGGAAATAGTTAGCACAAGTGGCAAGCCAAAATCCGCCTTTTTAGAGCGTCAACTACGATGAGTTGTGTTAGTATGGAAATACAACTTGTCCAACAGACTATGGATTTGCATTCAAGCCTTGAATGTTCATGATGTATTTTCTTTTCTTCCTCTATAGTATGATCACTCGGTTTCAAGTAATTTATCGTGAAAAAAAAATCTGTCGTATTTTTATTTTTAATACAAGATCTATATAGAATCTCTGCTTCATCAGGGAATGACCTCCGAAAGGGCTTCCGATGTGTTGCCTGAAAAGTTATATTAGTTTCGGGAAAAGTATTCCTGCATATATACAGTATGGCTACAGATGTCCATCAACACGTGTTTTTTAATCTCTGGAGTGACTAGATGTCACTGCTGCTGATCGCACGCACTTTAATTTCACCCCGAATCACCGAGAAAAAACTTCCAAAGAAATCCAGCAGCATTTCAAGAAATATTACCAGAAAAGCTGTTTATTTCATTCCTCAAAAATAGTGGGTACTATTTTTGTTTCCCCATATAATGAGCATAATAAAGAGCAAAATTCAAGTCTTTCGTCCACGATGGTGCACTAATCTTTTGGACAACCAGCTTCGATCTTGTCTTGTTTCTACTGTGTCCATTAATTCAATTCATTTATTTTTCTGTCACTGCTGACCGATGAGGAGGTCATTCGATGATGAGCAGCAGGGAATAAAAATCCGTCTAGCTTCTCGTGTGTGTCGTGCTATTATTGCACATATCTTAGGCAAAATGATGATGATGATGAGATGAGTTTGGTATTGGTTGTGTGTATATGATAGTGTGACGTTTGTTTACGTTATCGTGTGTTCGTGTGTGTGTGTCTGTGTGCGTCATGAATGGATGCATCGTATTGGTATTGGTATTCGTATTGGTGGTGGTGGTGCTTGATGCTGGTGTCATGCTCACCTTGAAACCATCGTAGGTCCAGGAGCCAAACTTCATGAAGCACGTCTGCTCGTCGTAGGGGAAGTATTCGACGTCGATGGCGCAGTAGGACTTGTAGATGGCTGGCGGCTTCCACTCCACCAGCCCATTGTGGTGCAGAGTGGCTTTGGTGGCCAGAGTCACCTCAAAGTTCCCGTCGGCGCTTAGGGTTGGTCATTATTGTCAATATATATTTATATACGATATATACATACGGTATATATGCAGATAAATATTTCTTTTTTAAATCGATACATACATATACTGTATATACTAGTAGCTGCATGTACATATATGCGAGGTATACATTCAATTCCCCTTTAATTTTGTTTGTGTGCTTGCTATACGGCTGTGAAGTAATGACTTTTTCTTTTTGCGATGATGGCAACTCTTCCCGAAGATAAAAATACTACAGTATAGTCTAAAACCCCGCGCCAAATCCTCGTACATAGAAAATTGCTCAGGAATGGGGGGGGGGGGGGGGGATGAATCAAACGAGAAATTTGTTGTGGAGGTAGTATGTATAGGGGGTTGTTCCTTTAATAAATGGGAATTCCTTGATGACCGCGAATAAAATACCGCATACGTACTTCTTCCTCTGAGAGCACACACCAGTATTTCTCTGATGATGATTCCTGCACGGCAGCGACGATCGATTCATATAGTGGCAAAAAACAAAGAACTGCTGCATCTTTCGTTCTTATTCATTCCCCATTTCTATGCCGGAATTACCATTTTCTTGTCTCATTTCACCAAGTTGGACCCCAAACAAAATACCAAAAATATATATATAACATATATAAAATGAATTAGAGGGACCATCAGAGGAAGAGCGTGAAGATCTCCGCCCAGAAATGTGTCAACAATTGCGTTTCCCCACGGTTTTTCATTTCAGAATATGGTTATTCATTCCCCGGAAATGTATACGTAGAAACACAAGAGTTTACGCAGTGAATCAATGTGCAAAGTAATTTAATTAATTCTTGCAACGTTTTGGATGAGGACCCTCGTCTCCGCACTGCTGGGAAGTCATCGTGGTAGAGCAGGTCAAGGGATCCGAAATTGGATTAACTCTCTGGTAAACGTTGGAGAGATCCTTGCCGGATCCTCTGCATTCAATAATATGGTCCGATTTACTTTAGGCATTTCGGGTCCTTTGTGTATGCGAACTCCTCAGCTTTACTCGACCAAGGCAGCTTTATTTTCGAGTACATTCAAGCTACAGATGACAGATGGTTTGAGAGATCTCAAGAGACGATTCTTTTCCCTTCACGTTTCAGCGTCAAAATCATCTTTCCGTGCATTTTTTGCCATTCTTTTTTTTTTTTTTTTTGCATGCGAAGGGCAATTCGGTTCGATATTTTAGCTTCTTATAATTTTCTTTTTTTTTACTTGACGGATGTTATTCCAAATTGATTCCCATGCAGTCATGAAACGAACCCGAAAAACCCGTGACAGCCTTCTTTCATAATTGAAGTTCCACACGCAACCCACCAGTACTTTAACACACACACACACGCAGAAAATCTGTAAAAATAAATGACGGGTCACAGTACCAGAGCACAGCAGGGCACAAGGATTTCAAATTCGCTTACTTTTTTCTTATTGTCACAATCTCTACATTTAATTTACTCTATATATATTGACCAATCTCAAGCCTATTTATTCAACCGCCCTCTTTTATTCACTTGACATTCGTTTCTTAGACTTTTTAGAATATTCCATGAAAGCATCACTTATTGAAATAGTCGGTCGAGTATCGTCATTTTCCTTGCACCATCGGGATCGAGAATTCTCGAAAAATTGACTCATCGAACGGGAAATAGCGGGGAATCTTTGATCGCACCGCAGCTGATGATGAACACGATCTAATAAATTACTGCATATATTGTATATATACAAAATTGCAATATATTGTACTGAGATTCGTGCATATACCTCGTTATTCCTCGTGTTCATCTCCATGACCCACACACACACACACACACACACACAGAGGGAAAGAAATAAATTGCTCTGCACTTGCTGGGGAATAGCAAAACAAAACTATGAATGTTAACTGGGAAATTTGGCGGAGATGTGGATCGAAGGAAGAAATAAAATTGCGGACAAGCAGACGGTGTCGGAACCCGTGCCGCACTCCTATACTGTATATGCTGTATACCTATACACATACAGCATACAGTATACGTATATCTGTGATGCTCTCCCATGACACAAAAGGCTGGCTTTTTGCATAATCAGGTTATCAATATTCTGTTATTTCTTCCCGCACCGGAACCCGCCTTTCATGTAAAGCATGTGCGAACGGACGATTTGTACAAGGGAATAAGGCAATATATGAGAAGAGAAAAAAAATAAAGTTGTAAGAATATTGATAAGAGAATTCCGGAAAATGGAAGCAGCAGGCAGATATTGGTGCTGAGGAAAGTTCCACCTGTCAGCCAAGCAAAGGGGGGGGGGGGGAACCTCAAAGGAAAACTGTTTTTCCTCGCTGTCGAAATTGCCTCAGCCAAGCTCAGCTTGCCACAGTCAACAGATGAACAAAAAAAAAAGAAAAAGAAAAATGCAATGAAAATTCGAAAATTATTCCGCTATTTTCCTCCTCACACCCACACACACATACACACACACACACAACACGCAGCCGGTGCGTGACCTGATCTATACCTCACATCGTAAAACACCACGTGTCCAAAACATCTCATAGCCAAAACGGCGAGTGCACAAATCAGCACTTGGGAGGAAGCTGAAAATGTTTCGAGCACTGCCTGATAATCAGCAAGTTTGATACGTAAAGAGATTATTATACTGCATGCTGTAGTTGATTTATTACTATTAGTTTTCATTTAAAAAAGACTCAATCTTTAATGAATATAATTACATTTTTTTAACCAAATACATTACAAAGACACTTTCTAAATTTTTTTTCGGTCCACTTTCTACACAATTGTAAGAAAGAAAGTAAAAATGTCTTCTCAAGTAAAGCCCGCCATCTTTTACTCATCCTAATTTTAATATCGATCTAATGTCAGGGTAAAACTTCTTCTCTTTGACATTGAAAAAATCAAGAAAGAATTCTCCGATATCGGAATGTTAATTTCAAAAATTGAAGGCTCGAGTCTGATAATTCTCTTTATCAAGGATGTTTATTGTGCATACCCGAAAAAACTTTTCGAAGGAGAAAAAGCTTCTTGCAGCTTTTGACTATTATTTTTGACTCATTTATATAATTCACATATTGAATACAACAGGTTCGAGTATGTAAACATGATGTATATTGACTGCATGATAAGGCAATAGACTGAGTCAATATTTTCTTTACTGAACACGATGAATTACTTCAGACTGCGAGGAGAAAAATCCACTCTTGCTGCGTGGCAATTAACCGCTATAATTATGGGTTCTATTACTGTGGCGAACTCGGCTATTTTCTGCCTGGCGCTCTTTTGTCACACGGTACTTTTCATGCGGTAAAGTCGTCTGAATTGCTGGCTGATGCTGGCATCAGCAGCACATATAGGAAAGGATTTCGGGAAATTTCGGCACATAATACCCAAGTGCTTCAAATCGTCGATCTATCACACATGCTACTCACTTCGATCGACGTAATTTCCCAAATCCCAATCAATGAATACAGTAATAACGACCTCCCCCCCCCCTCCCATATTTTCTCGGCTTAAAACTCTGCTGATGACGCATGTCAAACGCCAACTTTTGCAACACCGGCACCCCCGCTGTTTAAAAAAAAAAACAAGGATGTGCAAGTGGAAGAAACATCCAATATTATTATTTGTTTGGTGATTGCAAATGTTTCATTTTTGCTGATGTTTTGGTTTATTTTTATTTTTTTCCGGACTCACTTGTTGTAGAGGACGATGTCGGGCCTCCAAATGTGGTCAGAAGGCACATGCAGCATTTGGACGTCGCCATACTCTGACGGAGTCCATCTCAATTTGTAGTCGTTCCAGTACTGCAAACGGCGACGGAAACCCAATTGAATTATTTCATACAATGGCATCACCGAAAAACGACATCGGAGACAGGACATGTGGAGTGAGGGGGGGGGGGGAGTGGAGTGGAGGGAATTATGCCAAATCAAGACTGACAGCAGGCAATGCGACGACGACGACGACATTCGAAATCAAAGTTTTATAAGAAGACACACTTTTGGTCATTTCCCCCCCTATTCTCACTTATTTTATTTTTTATTCCCGACAGTGATGGGTTTCCTGCAGTGTGTGATTTGAAAATAATTCTCTCAAATGCGACATTTGTGCACACCATAATATACATGTATAGGTTGCTGTGTCCTCATTCTTTATGCGCAGAATAATCATGCCATATATAATGTTTACTAAAAAAGTAACGGGTTTCTTGTTCAAAGAAGAAGTTTCAATTGCATGGACATTTTTATATGCTGAGTGATCAGCACTGGCATTATCATTTTTCAATCTTATGGCTTAATTTGAACTAAATATTGTTTGTTTCCCAAACTATAATCACATTTCGAGAGTCGGTGGGGCTATATGGGGGATATATTTCCAAAGAATCACCTCATCCAGGCCAACACTTCCAAAAATAAAAGTTTCCCTTTTTCCTATATTGCACGAGAATTCATGTATTGATAAATTGGAAAATTTACTTCAGCATGCGGGGATATTTTTCCATGTATACTGAGATTTAATTACGTGATGAACCAAGTATAAAAAATGAATTTATAGAAAAACCTACAACCTTGAACGACCAAGAGTACATTTTGATAATTACAATTGTTGTCGAATGCTGGTCGAGTCGGGCTTGTGAAATTTACAGCGCATAAAACGGAAAATAAGATCAACTTTTAAATTTTTCGAAAGCGTGTATGGCATATCTTTTTGAAAACGACATCGTATCCAAAAGTAAGCTGGCTTGAAAATAATTTAAATAAAAGGGAAAGTGCCGATCTACTTCCGTATGGCATTATACAAGAATCTACACTATTTTATTTTCAACCTCAGACTTGGAACAAGTTTACGTACGATTCAGTGCGAGCATCCGTCTTTTATACTTTTTAATGATAACACGTTTCAAATGCCCGACACATAGAAAAGCAAAACCACGTGAAATTTTAGGAAGCCAATAGGAAAGCTATATATATATATATATACATTCGGTTAGGAAACATTCCAACGTCTTCGTCGTCATCCCGAAAGAAAGACAGGCGTAGAAAAAAATAAGTGGAAAGTTGAGAAGAAGATAGATGTGGATATTCCGTATGTACAGTACAAAGAAAACGGAAGAGGGAGATTTTCAAATACTGCACAGTATATATATATATATTTATATACAGTATATCCTGTTGGGGCCTTATTGGGAGGCGGAAATTGCCTCCTCTGCTGCAGGATTCTGGGGGAGGATCTGGGTCGATGGGAATCAAGCCCGCTGAGGAATTTTCTCCACCCCCCGTTTACATTCACTGTGACAAGTAACGTATTCTTGTCCCCTTTTCGGTACCGGAAATGGGCAGAAAAGTTCCTTCCACGTGAGGAAAAGAAGAAGAAAAAAATAACTTTATCGGGAGGATGCAGCAGAAGCATGCACAACCAGCCGAGGCACGGCAATTTTTCTTTTATGCGTACACAACCTGTAACATGTACTGTATATACGTATATACAAAGCAAACATTAATTTGTTTCATTTATTCTTTTCTAGTTGTATTTCCAGTGTAGAGGGACGAAAGCCAAATCTCATTTAACAGACTTCGTTATATAGGGAAGGCGACACTTGTGTTGCTCAAATCCTATTTTTTTGGTTGGTGGGGGGGGGGCTTTTCATTCAATCATAATACGGCGTGGTTCATTCAGTTTTTCGAATTTGAATTTCATCACATCGGTTAATTTAAAAATACCACGAATCCTGATGATACAGCACTTGAACCAGTCAAAGTCAAACTTGAAGGAACTCCAAAAATTATCATTATTGAGCATTTCAAGCATGAAATTTGGCCAACTTATAATGAATGGGCTATTTTCCAAAAATTAAAATGAATAAGAAAGCATCATCATCATAATATGGGCGGATTCCTGCATGTATAGGCGATAATTTTTGCATCTTTGTCACCCTTTTAAATTTTAATCAGATTATAATTGTTTGGACACCACCAAACAATTCTAATATGGGAGTGGTTTTTTTTTTCAACAACAAAATCGGAATGCTTTCACGAGATACTGGATTAAATTATTCTTTTTAAAGTACTGAATTCAAGGAACTCAATGTGATAGCAAAGCCAAGCCTTGATTCAAACATAAAGGATAAATATAAAGTAGTGCAGTGCTGTAATATGATTTTGCAGAGAAACGTATTCCTATAGAAGTCTTCAAATAGGCCGCATTTGTACATAATTTTAGAAAACGAAATCTTTGTGCAAAAAAAAAAAAAGAAAGTAAGATAACGGAATCTTCCATGTACGGTATAGTGCTGCTGCATGGAAAGCTTCCACAAAAGAATAAAAAAATGAAAGGCAGAAAAAAAGGGGAAGCCAAATGAGACTCACCTGCTCTACCCAGAGGTTCGTCGTCATGATCTGGTTCTTGAGGTTCTGCAACAGACGGAGAAGAAGAAAAAAAAAAGATGATGACACAGCATGAAGAAAAAAACATGGAAGGAAATGGAGCGAATATTGTGTAAGGAATCAATCCGACAGAGATGCACTATGTATACAATACATATATACGTATACTCTGTATACGAGAACAGGTCTCTTCCTATCGTCGGGAGTCTTCGGATCAATTGAGCTCAGCCAGCCTGCTGAGAGATGAGTGTGCTGCATCAGCTATATATACATGTACTTGCAAACTGAGATGTTTCATATATTTCCCCCCCCCCCCCGCCCCCTTTTCTTCAACAGAAACAGCACTTAGCCCTCATCCACTCCACGGCATCAGCACATATTATACTCATGAGCACTTTCCAGCACCACTGACACGACAGTGTACTGTTGCAGTGGCAGCAGCAGCGAAGACAGAAAAAAAAAGTAACACGCTGACAATGACGTAATAAAGCTGTGAGAAGTCTGGCAGCTGAGGCCAACGGAATCAGAGCAGCACAATAAAAAAGGAATATAGGGACAGGATCTTCTTCTTCTTCTTCGTCTTCTATACAGAAAGAACTGTCACCCCTTTCCCCTTTTTTCAATTCTTTTCTGATATGATATAACTGGTGCTGATGAGAGACATCGGAAACGCGTTGTTTTCAGCAGGCCAAAGTTTTGTTGAAATCCTCCTCATCACCCTCCTCAAGTGTGGCTATAAGCACAATACTGTTTTTTTTTTTTTTACTTTTTCCAGCTATTATTCCCTCGTCAGCATCAGCGTCAACCACTGCGGTGGCAAAGACGTTGCAGAAGAAAAGAAGGCGATACAGATAAGGTTTCCAGATGCCACATATGTACACTGAGCATATTTCCCCCTTTTTTCTTTATTCCCAGTCGGTTGAATATTAAGAGAAAAAAAAAAGGATTGAGGAGGAGGGGAAGTAGAAAATATACGAGTCTGCTGGTGAATTGCCTTTCCTTTTTTTTTCTAAAAGTTTCTATTTTGTACTTCATTTTTTCTCTATATATATATATATATATATATACATATATATATATATATATATTTTTTTGTTTTTTCAGATTACGACAGAGCCAAGNTCTATATATATATATATATATATATATATATATATATATATATATGTCTTTGTTTGTGGTACTTCTGCTGCGTCTCCATTCGTATTCTTCCTGATGAAATATCCTAGTTTCTGGCTCTGAGCATGGTTCCTGTTTCCTTCCTTCCTTCCTTCCTTCCGGCCTCGCCATGTGTGTGTGCGTGCTGAGAACGTATTTCCAAGGGTTTCCAGCACTATGTACAGCATGCACATATATGATACGACGATGCCCGCAGGCCTTGATTTATTCTCTCTTTTTTTTCTCTCCCCCTGGCAGTCACGCCATTGGGTGACTTTGCTCGAAACCTTTGCATGATTAGAAACTCTAGCTTTTCGTGTCTCATATCATGAATAATATGCTTTCTTCGTCATCATGATGTTGAGTATGAAAGCACATATACAGTATATGTGTATATATGTGACAAAGGTGATGGTCCAGTATATACTAAACCATGATGTGTACATCAGATGATAAGCAGCACTTTGTAAACGCGAATGCTGCGTCAATATGAATGATGGAAAAGAGAAAGCATTTTATTCTTCCTATGGTATCTGTTAGATTATATACACGTCCCGTGCTGAGTTTAAACCCGACATTTATACTGCTTATTGGTGCAATTTTATTCATATTAGTCACTCAGTGGTGTGTTTTTTTTTTTTTTTTTTTTTTTTTTTTTTTCTTTTGGTGCAATTTTATTCATATTAGTCCCTCAGTGGTGTGTTTTTTTTTTTTTTTTTTTGCTTTTCATACATCCTGCTTTCGCACACTACTATATTGCGCCAAAAGGAGATCAGGGTGAGAAAAAACTTGGCAGTTGGTGATACGCCAACGCGTTTTCGTCGGGAATTTGTCACATTTTGCTGCTGGGATCGTCGATGCAAAAGCCGATGTCGCAGTTCTGTTCAAATAATTCGCAAAAACCGAGGGAATGAGGGGAATACAAAGTGTTTACGCCATTATAGGGGGCCTGAAGCATTATTTTAAAGCGAAGGCGGAAACCGTCCACTTTTGTTTCCCCCATAAAATGACTGAGTTCCACAAAAAAACAACAACAACAGCAGCAAAAACACCAGCTGGAATCCATTATGGTTGAAAGCATATAGTGCGCAATTTGTCTTGTATCGCCCCTCTGGTTCCCGGATAACATATAGCTCCTGATCACATCCTTTCCGAACATGATACTGTACATCCAGGGCTCCATTAACAAGATTGAAATAAAAACGTAGTGTATATATATATATATATACTGTACTGGATATATTCTGAATAGAGCTGAAAAAAGAAGCACGAAAAAGAGGCTGTCTTCAACATGGAGGAGCACGTGTCTG